GGCTCCATACAGACGCACAGGGGCCCCGCAGTCTGAACACGGGCTCCATACAGACGCACAGGGGCCCCGCAGTCTGAACACGGGCTCCATACAGACGCACAGGGGCCCCGCAGTCTGAACACGGGCTCCATACAGACGCACAGGGGCCCCGCAGTCTGAACACGGGCTCCATACAGACGCACAGGGGCCCCGCAGTCTGAACACGGGCTCCATACAGACGCACAGGGGCCCCGCAGCCTGAACACGGGCTCCATACAGACGCACAGGGGCCCCGCAGTCTGAACACGGGCTCCATACAGACCGTTAGGAGCACCACGTGGCCCCCGCCCTCAGATAAGGGGTTATCTGGCCTCTCACTGACTTATCAGGGCAGATAAGAGGTAACGGGAAGCGACTGATAACAGAGAACTCCACAGATACACCAGCCACCCTCCCGGGGCATTATACCACGTATGGGGCGGGCACCGCAGGGGCATTATACCACGTATGGGGCGGGCACCACAGGGGCATTATATTAGGTATAGGGGGGGAGCACCGGAGGGGCATTATAATATGTATAGGGGGCAGGGGGAGCACCGGAGGGGCATTATAATATGTATAGGGGGCAGGGGGAGCACCGGAGGGGCATTATAATATGTATAGGGGGCAGGGGGAGCACCGGAGGGGCATTATAATATGTATAGGGGGCAGGGGGAGCACCGGAGGGGCATTATAATATGTATAGGGGGCAGGGGGAGCACCGGAGGGGCATTATAATATGTATAGGGGGCAGGGGGAGCACCGGAGGGGCATTATAATATGTATAGGGGGCAGGGGGAGCACCGGAGGGGCATTATAATATGTATAGGGGGCAGGGGGAGCACCGGAGGGGCATTATAATATGTATAGGGGGCAGGGGGAGCACCGGAGGGGCATTATAATATGTATAGGGGGCAGGGGGAGCACCGGAGGGGCATTATAATATGTATAGGGGGCAGGGGGAGCACCGGAGGGGCATTATAATATGTATAGGGGGCAGGGGGAGCACCGGAGGGGCATTATAATATGTATAGGGGGCAGGGGGAGCACCGGAGGGGCATTATAATATGTATAGGGGGCAGGGGGAGCACCGGAGGGGCATTATAATATGTATAGGGGGCAGGGGGAGCACCGGAGGGGCATTATAATATGTATAGGGGGCAGGGGGAGCACCGGAGGGGCATTATAATATGTATAGGGGGCAGGGGGAGCACCGGAGGGGCATTATAATATGTATAGGGGGCAGGGGGAGCACCGGAGGGGCATTATAATATGTATAGGGGGCAGGGGGAGCACCGGAGGGGCATTATAATATGTATAGGGGGCAGGGGGAGCACCGGAGGGGCATTATAATATGTATAGGGGGCAGGGGGAGCACCGGAGGGGCATTATAATATGTATAGGGGGCAGGGGGAGCACCGGAGGGGCATTATAATATGTATAGGGGGCAGGGGGAGCACCGGAGGGGCATTATAATATGTATAGGGGGCAGGGGGAGCACCGGAGGGGCATTATAATATGTATAGGGGGCAGGGGGAGCACCGGAGGGGCATTATAATATGTATAGGGGGCAGGGGGAGCACCGGAGGGGCATTATAATATGTATAGGGGGCAGGGGGAGCACCGGAGGGGCATTATAATATGTATAGGGGGCAGGGGGAGCACCGGAGGGGCATTATAATATGTATAGGGGGCAGGGGGAGCACCGGAGGGGCATTATAATATGTATAGGGGGCAGGGGGAGCACCGGAGGGGCATTATAATATGTATAGGGGGCAGGGGGAGCACCGGAGGGGCATTATAATATGTATAGGGGGCAGGGGGAGCACCGGAGGGGCATTATAATATGTATAGGGGGCAGGGGGAGCACCGGAGGGGCATTATAATATGTATAGGGGGCAGGGGGAGCACCGGAGGGGCATTATAATATGTATAGGGGGCAGGGGGAGCACCGGAGGGGCATTATAATATGTATCCAGTCCGCCATCTGATCACCAACCCCAGACCGAGGGCCCCGGGGCCCCCTGATACCAACTGGGTGGGGGGGCCTTACAGAGGGAACTGACACCCCCCCCTCCCGGGGCGCACCGGGGCACTGCACCCATACACCTGCCAAACAAACCTGTTATGATGATGAGTCACCAACCGACCCAACCCCCACACACCTATTCTATAACCACCAACCAATCAAGGGCAGAGAGGTCAGGTGGGGGACATTACAGCACCGGGATCCTGTACTCATCATCCACCTCAACCAGGGAATCAAATCTTTACACTGGGTGGATGATGGGGGTAATTGTACACGTCGCAGCACAGGAGTGTCGTAGTCACCATCCTGAAAGGATAGAGGAAGTAGAGGCAGTAGACAGATGGTGGGGGTAGTAGTACAAATTGTAATACTGGGGCCCTGAACTCAGTTGTAGCTGGATGATGGGGATAGTAGTACACCAGGGTCCTGGAAGTGGAGGCAATAGTACAGATCGTACTGCAAGGTTGTAGAGACACGATGGGGGTAGTAGTAGGGATGTCACTCACCGTCCAGCTGCAGCAGGGAGTCGTACACCTTGCACTGGATCTGTCCGGTACTTTGGGTCGCACACGTCATCCACAGTCCCTGATAAATGGCCACCGCGGTGATGATGGAATCCCCGGCGTACGAGGACATCCGCCATTGCGGCATGATGGTGGCTGCGATCAGCGCGATCCACCCGAACAGCGACATGACAAAGCCCAACAACTGCAGCCCGGAGTTCGCCATCCTCCCGAATCACCGATGCGACCCAACTGATCCACACCTGAGCCCGTCCGCCACTTATATACCCAGCGCCGCCCCCTCCAGGTGAGAGCCACGCCCCCTCCAGGTGAGAGTGTGACGTCACCAAAACTCACAGCCGCCGGTATCGATGGCAGACGAGTATCGAGGACAGATCGGCTGTGATTCACCGACCACCAATATCATCATCATTATATCACCAACATATACCGGAGAGCACTCATCATCAGTCCCTGTACAGAGGAGCTTACACTCTAATGTCCCC